CAATTTGGTGATAAAATCCATGGAAATCTGTTCCCACTTCCACTGGGGAACCTCAAGCGGCTGCAACTTGCCATGTGGACACTGGTGCTCGGCCTTAACCCTGCGACAGGTCAAGAGCCTCTCTACAAACCACGCCACATCCGTCTTCATACAGGGCCACCAATAGTCTCTTTTCAGGTCCAAATACATCTTGGTGGTCCCGGGATGGATCGAAAACCTCGACCTGTGCGCCTCCTCCATCAAAATGGCACGTGCTCCGCCCTCAAATGGCACCCAAATCCGGCCCTGGAAGGTCATAACCCCCGACTATCGGCAATGAACTCAGATATCTGTCCAATCACCCGCTCTCGCTTGCGATTCTCCGGTCTCATGGCCTCTACCTGGGCTTCCCGAATGGTGTCCAACACCGGAGTCATCACTGTCAACCTCAGACAAACATCTCGCAAAGGGGCACTATCTGCCCTGCGACTCAAGGCATCGGCTACCACGTTAGCCTTGCCCGGGTGGTATCGGATCTCACACTCATAATCCTTTACCACGTCCAACCATCTCCTCTGACGCATGTTCAGGTTGGGCTGATCCATCAGATACTTCAAGCTCTTGTGGTCCGTGTATATGGTACACCGAACCCCATACAAATAGTGACGCCAGATCTTGAGGGCGTAGACCACAACCCCCAACTCCAGATCGTGAGTAGGATACCTCGTCTCATGAGGCTTCAGCTGCCTCGATGCGTATGCTACCACATGCCCTCTCTGTATCAGCACCGCACCCAGTCCCGATATCGACGCATCACAATATACCACAAATTCCTCCATTCCCTCCGGAAGGGCCAACATTGGGGCTTCGCACAATCTCTGGCGAAGTGTCTCGAATGAGGCCTGCTGCTCCGGCCCCCAACTGAAAGTCATGCCCTTCCGGGTTAGTCTGGTGAGAGGAACAGCAATCCTGGAGAAATCCTGGATGAATCTCCGATAATAACCAGCCAACCCCAGGAAACTCCTGATCTCCGAAGGGGATCTCGGAACCTCCCAACTCATCACCGCCTCAATCTTGGCCGAATCGACCAATATCCCATTCTGGTTGACGAGGTGTCCTAAAAACTGGACCTCTCGTAACCAGAAATCGCACTTGGAGAATTTGGCGTAAAGCCTCTCCGATCTCAGAACTCCGAGGATCTCCCTCAAATTCTCCTCATGCTGCTCTCTGGATCTCGAATACACCAATATATCATCAATGAACACGATCACTGAACGATCCAACATCGGCATGCACACCCTGTTCATGAGATCCATGAACGCTGCCGGTGCATTGGTGAGCCCGAAAGGCATCACCACGAACTCGTAATGCCCGTAACAAGTTCTGAACGTTGTCTTCTGGATATCCTCATCACGCACCCGCAAAGGTCGACTTAACGCCTCTCGACGAATACTGATGTGCTGACTAAAGGCTAACGACACAAAAGACCGACTCGCACTCGAGTCAAATAACACCAAAGCAGGTACAGAACACACAAGAAATGTACCTACGCATATCACAATATAAGCATAACACCACAAACTCAAAATAAACAGATGACATAATACATACCAGCCACAACATCGGGTGATGCGCGGACCTCCTCCGCTGTCAACTGGAAGGCTCTCCCGCGAGCCTTCGGCGCCTCGGCCTTCACCGGCCGACTCTCCGTAGCTCGAACAGCAGCAGGGACAGATCCCTGAGAAGCTCCCTGCGCTGACCCTCATAACTACGGACACTCGGCCTTCCGGTGTCCGGTCTGGTTGCAGTGAAAACAAACTGCAAACCCCTTGGGGCAATCCTTGGCCATGTGCCCCTCCTTGCCACACTTGTAGCAAGACCCTGCTCTGCATACCCCTCATGACTCTTGCCGCACTTGCCACAAGTGCGGCCCTTCTGGTTCCCTGATCTCGAATACTCGGGCTTAGCCCGCTTGGCAGCCGGCTGGGACTGTGCCGGTCGCCGATCCCTCCCCTGAGACTCCGCCCCCTCCCTGACCTGATTCTCTAGCTCAATCTCTCTCTTCCGGGCATTTGCCTGAAGCTCGGCAAATGTCCGGTATGTCGAGTTCGCCACGAACTCGCGGATATCTCTCCTCAAAATACTCAAATATCTGCTCATGCGTGCCTGCTCGGAAGACACGTGCTCAGGGCAGAACATCGCCCTCTCATGAAACATCCTGGTGATCACTGTAACAAACTCGGTACCCTGCTTGAGGGTCAAAAACTCCTGGGCCAAACGTTTTCCTTTCCACCGGGGGAACGTACTCATCTCGAAACATAGTGGTGAACCTCTCCCAGGTCACTGCAGCGAGCTCTGCAGAAGTGAAGTGTGCTGTCACAAACTTCCACCAGTCCTTCGCTCCCAAGCGAAGCTGGTTCAAAGCGAACCGTACCCTCAGATGCTCCGGACATGAACATGTGTAGAAGCACCCCTCAATATCAGAGATCCACCTCATCGCGGCTATCGGATCCTGAGTCCCATCAAACTCTGGTGGCTTCGTGTTGCTGAACTCCCGGTACAGCAACGAGTCACCCCCCTACGGCCTGGCAGCAGCAACGGCTGCAGCAACAGCAGCATCAGTAAGAGCAGCATACCGCTCATCAAAAGTCTCAATCAATGTGGTCTTGATAGACCCGAACATCTCTGGAATCTCAGCGCGGATGGCCGCAGCCACTTCATCATGAATCATCTGGCGGAGCTCCTCATCGCTCACACCCCCCTCGCTAGTCCCTGGCCTGTGGCGTGTCCCAACCATGATGTCTCTCTGAAATACAACACAAGATATCAGAGACTCGCTCGAGTGTACACACACTCGATATCCCATTTCTACTTGATCCCTGGTACCCTAAGGATTCTTACTTGGGCTGCGCACTGATCTGGTGCCTTCGGTAGTACGGGCCCAATACTACCGTCCACACCGCATCAATATTCACCCCAAGTCCTCCTCCTAGGATCCCAAGTCCCAAGTACTCTACTCTCTCTATACATAGTCTACTCTCTAGCAGATCTCTCATAAGCTCCTCGCTGCTATCTATTCACTCTCAAGCATCTCCTAGCAGCAAAATCCCTAGGCTAAGGCATCACAAATCAGGCCACTCTAGTCCTAATAAGAATACCTAGCCTACTCTAGCATGCATATTATATCATAACATATCTCATAACTCATAATGTAAGGGTATTTTGGGAAATCACCGTTCGGGCGTTGGCTGATCGTACACACTGCTCTGCTCTGCTCTTTCAAAAACTTTTTACTCTTGAGAAAAATTTTGTGAATTTTATTTTGAAAATCCCTCAAATCCTCAGTTTGAGTTCAGATACGCCCGAAGGTGCACCCGAATCCCTCAAACCAAGGCTCTGATACCAACTTGTAACACCCAAATTTTCGAATAATTTTTCACAATTTTAAAACATACTTTCATTCATAAGATAATAATAAACATAATGTATCCACTGTCATCATAGAAAAACATATCCCAGAATCATATAAACAAAAGCTCCATGAGTGTGTACAGATCATGTCGCACCTTCCCGCGGTCATCACTGGTACCTGAAACACATACACAAAACTTTGTAAGCATAAATGCTTAGTGAGTTCCCCAAAATACCACATAAACACATATCAGCCACTCAAGGTTGTAACTCTGATGACCCTCTGATCGAATATCTCTGTGGGACCCTCTTGGTCCCATAACTCTGTGGACCCACTGGTCCTAACTCTGTAAACTCTGAATCATGCATATCACATATCACATAGAATCACAACACATAAATAACATACAAGATACACTGTCACATAGCTCTGATTACCACTCTAGGTAAAGTATAGTGAGAAGACTCACCTCGGGAATCTCGGTAAAATCTCGATATCAGAATACTGCCCTAGCCTCCACCTAGTCACAATAATAAATTTCACTAAATAAATGTCTCTTCACAATTTGGATATTCTCTCATGCAAATCCCTAGAAGGGTAAAAGACCATTCTACCCCTCTACAGGCCCAAGGCCCATTTGTTGACAAACCCTAAAAGTCAACCCAAAAGTCAACTGTCCATTTTGACCAGACTCGCCGAGTGCATACGACGACTCGGCGAGTCCCATCGTCCCCACAGACTCTTCCCTTTCTAAGCCTCACTCGACTCACTGAGTCACCCCTCAACTCACCGGATCACCACTAGAGTCAGACCCCGGGGCAACCCGGTCCAACTCGTCGAGTCTACATATGGACTCGGCGAGTTTCCTCCATGGACTTGCTCATACAACCTCCTGAGGTCAGATCTGCTTAGCCAAATCATAGATCTAACCCTTAAACACTCAAAAGTCACGTAAAGGTGCAACCTTTACGTGCATGCAACCCAATTCAAGCCTCAAATGGAGAAATAACACTAGAAATGGCAACCTAGTCTCCAATTGCTTATTTGCTTGCAAAAAGCTAGAAGGTAATGACTCTAGGGACCTCTCATGGTCCAGATCTGATGTCATAACCCCAAAGAGGACCTCATACTCACTAGATCTTTCATAAAATGAGGGTAAAAACCCTAAAATCAAGAAGTCCATCAATATAACACGAAATGGAAAGGTTTATACCTCCAAAGATGATATCACGAGATGATTAGCTCAGATCCAGTCCCCTTCACACTCTAGATTTGTGCTCCTATCTTCCTTCAAGCAAAACCACACAAAAAGATGGAGAAATAGCCTCCTCTTGCCCTCAAACTCACTATCTCAGCTCTCTAGGGTTTCTCTGGAACAAGGTGGCCGCAAATGAAGGCCATAAAGGTCTTTAAATAGGCTCCCAAACCCGGGGATTAGGGTTTTCCTAATCAGCACCGACTCGGCGAGTCAGGTCCCGACTCGTTGAGTCCGTGCGCGAAAATGCGCCAATAGATCAGACTCTACTCGACGAGTTGAGGCATCAACTCGTCGAGTTCCTTAATAAAATAATAAATAAATAATTAAATTAACATACCCGAACTCAGGATGTTACAGAAGTTCTTTGTCCTTTTTCAGTGCATCTTTGATATTTGACTCAAATTTATCAGATCTTTCATTGAAAGGGATATTTTTGTCAAATATGAACTGTCTCTGCAAAAAAATTTAAATATACATCAAACTTTAAAGAGTAAATTGTTAAATTCACAATAAAGTAAATTTAAAATTTAAAATTATTCACACTGTGAATTATAATGGGATTCACTGTGTGAATTTTCTTAATTATTCAGAACTATTGAAAATTTTATTTATTATATTATAAACATTATCATGATATATATTTTTTAATTAACTTACCACCATTGATGTATCAAAGAAATACCGATTCACTGTAGAATTTGATTTTAGCTTTTCTTCGTAGTTCAAAATATTAGTCCAAGCATCAATGACATGTGTGTGTACCCATAATCCTGGCTGTATTGTTTCAATCATTCCTCTTCCAAGCACATAACCTCTCTTAGTCTGAAATACCTTCTCACTTAATTTGTAATCAAATAAAACAAAAAAGCAGTTAATAGTAAATTAATTTGTATTTGTATTTATATACTATTGTATTTAAATAAAAGATAACATGAATTATTACCTGCTATTACCAATTCTGGAAAAAATTATATCTGATACTTTTACTTCATCTGGATCTACAAATTTTGATGCACAAACCTCTTTTTTATTATAAGGAGAAGATAGCTTTAGTGATGGTTTTTTTAATCTTTTTCCTACTTCTCTTTTTTTGTCTTCATCATCTTCAATTCCCAAGATATTATTGTCACATTCTGTTTCTTCTGAATCATAACTTTCTCCTTCATCAAGTTTTTCATCTTTTATTTCTTTCTTCATGTGTTCATCTTCACTGCTTTCATCTCCTTCCTGAAACTCTTGTGTTAGACCAAGATCAAGTCCAAGTGAAAAACTAGGCATTGATGATTTTCTAGTATTTTTTTTCCTTTTTTTATCATTTATTATTGTTTTTTTATTTTTTTGTTCTCTAAAACTTTTTACATTTTCAAAATCATCATAATCATCAAAATTTAAAATACATTGAATAGAATCAGCAATCTCATGCACTATTGGATCATTGTACAAATTTCCTGGTGTTACCATGATTGGTTGATTCTTTATTTCATGTTCATTCAAATTCTCATCGCTTTTTTCTTCATCTTCATTCCTGTCACTTTTTGCATCATCTTCATTTTGAGTTTTATAAATGAATTCTTGTTCAAAGACTTTCTTCATATCTTTCAACTCATCGCTTTCTGTGAATTTTGTTGTTGAAAACTCAATTAACTTTTCAAACTTCATTTTATCATTCACTAGTTTTTTGTAATTATTTTTCGCTTTGAATACCAATTCCTGCGAAATGAGACAAAAATGTCAATAAAAATTAATTTTTTTAACTGTTTTCTATAATAAATTATAGTTTCAGAATATGAATGCATTGATGAGGTATCATATTTTTTAATGCATTTTAATATTTGTGAATTTATTATAGAGAAAGTAATAAAATACACTTTTATATTCACAATGTGAATCACTTTATGAATTTCATCTTAACTACAATTTTATAACATATATCTGTAATATAACTTCAATTTTTTTTAGTTATATAGATTATTAACTTACATCGAGTTTCATATCTTCATTTTCATCGGTGTCGGATTCTTCATCATTCTCTATAACATCATCATTCCATTCCAAAGTTCCAAAGTCACCACTCTTTAACTCAACTTTTTCCGTTTCACCATCATTTCATAATCCCAAAAATGTAGTGCATGTATTTGTCTTTTTTCATTCTTATCATTTCTCAAAAACTCCAAATAAGCTAGCTGTTTATGTAAACAAACTTATGATTAATTAGTTTTCTTATAATAATATAAATAAAAGTGTTAATTATAAGAATTTTCCTTACCAAGAATACAAGAAGTGGCCCACAATAGTAGTTTCCTCTATCGGTTTCATCCCACGTCATCTTTGACATTTTCAAGCAATTGGTTATAAAACCACACCAATCAATTTCTCTCATAGGTGTTTTGCCTAACAAATGTGGCAATACTGTTGTCATACAAGTTCCAGGCTTATTTTGTTCACATATGGTATTAACAAACAGTAATAAAAAATTTGTTCTGAAAATAATCCCTGAATCTAATGATTCTTTAATTCTCTCTTCAACATCTGATGGTCTCATAGCCTTGAAATTGTACTGTTGCTTCCAATCCATTAATTCTTTTCCTTCACATTGATCAGTGTTATATATATCTTTTCCACCTAGAGGAATTCCAAGCAAATCATGAACAAGTTCTGGTGTTATGTCTATCTTTGCATTAGGTAGATGGATTTTCATATCTGATGGATTAAATGAATTCACAACAAAACGTGCCAATTTCCCAGAAATTCCATTGGTTGCAATTCTCAGCAAAGATCCCAATCCCATTTATCTAACAACTTTTTTCTGTTCTTTGTTTAAAGATTTAACAATATCATAAAACTTCTTTGGGCTCTTTCTTGTTCTCAAAGATACTCTGTCATTTGGATTTATTTGCACTTTTGCCTTTTTTCTTTGACTACTTCCAGAGTCTTTGTTTTTCTTTTTCTTTTTCCTGTTAGTCAATAATTTTCATAAGCTTCTTATAATATAACATATATACTATAAAATAACTAACAATACAAGAAATTCACATGTGAATTTGTTTTGAAAAATATAATATAATACATAAAATAAACATGTGAATTTATTTATAACTTTGTAAATTAAACATGTGAATAGTAATAAACAAACCTGTTACTTTTTCATCAAATTCTTTCTTTACAAGGCTATCATCAACTTTAATAGGAGCCACAAATTTTTTGTATTTAATCATTTTAAGTCTTGGACTCTGTCTGATTTCTGTTCATGTTTTAACAAAATTAATAAGAATTAATTTTATAATATCAAATTCAATTATAATTTTATAAATACTAACCTTGAGTTGTTTTCTTTTCAGGTGTCTTGAAAATAGATTTGTCTTGCTTCATCGACTTTTTCGTTTTTGTTTTTTGTAATCTTGGACTCTGTCTGATTTCTGTTCATTTTAAAAAAAATTAAAGATAACTGATTTTATATATTAAAGTAAATTATAATTTTATAAATACTAACCTTGTGTTGTTTTCTTTTCAAGTGTCTTCAAAACAGATTCATCTTGCTTCATCAATTTTTTTTGTTTGCTTTTTTTAAATCTCATCACCTTCTAAACTTTTTTCTTTTTCAGCATTTTCATCAATAGTCTTTTCATCTTTAATTTTTCTTAATTTATTAACTATTTCCACCACGGTTCTCCTTGCTGTGTTTTTTGTATATTTTTTTGAACCTTCAACTACACAATGTGAAATTTTTAATATCAATGTCAAAAATATAAGTAGTATTATGAAATACATGTCAAACAATAGAAAAATGAACATGTGATGATCAAATTGAAAAAACTTTTTAGAAATTCACATTGCGAATCTGTTAGGCTATAAGCTATATCCAAGATTCACATTGCGAATTTATGCATTTAACAGCAAAAGAATTTGAGGTTCACCAAGTGATGTACACATACACATGGTGAATTTTTAAAATTATTTTGTGCATAGTGAATACAAACAAAAGTGTTGACCCACTTGCAAAAAAAAAATTAACATATTCACATTGTGAATCTGTGTGAATGTGAGACATACATCCAAGATTCACATTGTGAATTTATGCATTTAACAGCAACATAGTTTGAGGTTCACCAAGTGATGTACACATACACATGGTGAATTTTTAAAATTATTTTGTGCATAGTGAATACAAACAAAAGTGTTGATCAACTTGAAAAAAAAATTTAAGAGATTCACATTGTTAATCTGTGTGAATGTGAGACATACATCCAAGATTCACATTGTTAATTTATGCATTCAACAGCAAAAGAGTTTGAGTTTCACCAAGTGATGTACACATACACATGGTGAATTTTTAAAATTATTTTGTGCATAGTGAATACAAACAAAAGTGTTGACCAACTTGCAAAAAAGACAAAATTGCAAAAATGGTCCATGTAGTATGCATTTTTCTGGGGTTTTAGTCCAAACCTCGGCTTTTTTGGGTTGGTGGTCCTTTTGAGCTACTTTGCTTGTAGTTTTGGTCCCTGTCCAAACGAAAAAGACTATTATACCCTTAATGAATTTATTTTTCATTTTTCTTTCACCTTTTAATATTATTATTATTATTAAATATAAAAGTGGGCCCACTCACTCTCTCTCTCTCTCTCTCTCATTTTCTATCAATAACAAAACACACTCAGATTTTTCCACGTTTGTGAAGAACTTAAACATGAACCTTTGAATTTTCTGCAAGCCTGCTCAAGAACAAGATAAACAAGACCAGGTGTAACAGACCAAAGATCGACACAACCCTTTGTGAGCCGTCGGAGCCGCCAGCCATCTTCATCAGTAATCCTCAACTTTCCGGCAAGAAGGGTTTCAAGATCTTCAGCTCCATCTTGAACGCCGCCACTACCACTGATCAATACAACCACCACACCCAAAAGATATGCCCACAACCACCGGTCAAATCGCCACTAGTGTTGAACCTGTTTGAAAACCCTCAGATCTGAAAGCCGATGTCATCTTGATCTCGTCATCGTTACTAGAGACGAACCAAGATCTGAAGATTTAGGGTTTTTCCTCCAACACCACTTCCATGTTCTTCCCTTCAAAAAAGTTCTTTTTTCCCTAAAAAACATTGGATCAAACTTAAATTCAAAGGCAAAACAAGATCGATGTATCTAAACAATGTTGTTAATAATTGAGGAAAAAAGACTTATATAAGTAACATTTTGTAAAATCGGTGTATCTATACAGTAGATGTCCACCTCTGGCTCTGCTTCCACCCTCTCTCACTTCTTTCCAACAAACTCTCAAGCTTCCCTTTGTAATTATGCATCTGTATCATCCCGGCACCGGTGGTGGCCGAGATGGGTTGTTTATTGACGGCTATGGGTTTTTTTCAGTGAGTACTATGCCTTCTAGGTAAGTTAATGATTTTGGGGCTAGGTGATGCTGGTGTTATGTGCCATTTCACCATCGTACTTCTTGTTGACATTCTTGTCTCGCTGCTTCTTCAATCACATAAAGGGTTTTGAAGCGAATTGAAGAAGGAACAAAATTTGGTATATGTTAGAAGTACAAAATAGTCATGTCGATGTTAATTTCACTGGATTTAATTGATTTTGTGGAAATTTGGTTAGGAAAAAGATGAATACATTGGAAAATTTGTATCGATCTGAGTTTTTGTTCCAACGAAGAAGACGAGAGAGAGAGAGAGAGAGAGAGAGAGAGAGAGAGAAAGAGAGAGAAAGAGAGAGAGAGAGAGAGAGAGAGAGTATGTGGGCCCTCTTTTATATTTTTAGTTATTAAATTATTAAAACAGATATTAAAAATGTAAAAATAAAAATAAAAGGGTATAATAGTCATTTTAATTTTTGGAGGGACCAAAACCGCATACAAACTAGGCCAAAAGGACCATGAAGCCAAAAAAGTCGAGGTTTGGACTAAACCTCATAAAAAATGCATACCACGGGGACCATTTTTGCAGTTTTGTCTGCAAAAAAAAAATTAAGAGATTCACATTGTGAATCTGTGTGAATGTGAGACATACATCCAAGATTCACATTGTGAATTTATGCATTTAACAGCAAAAGAGTTTAAGTTTCACCAAGTGATGTACACATACACATGATGAATTTTTAAAATTATTTTGTGCATAGTGAATACAAACAAAAGTGTTGACCCACTTGCAAAAAAAAAAATAAAAAAATAAAAAAATTTAAGAGATTCACATTGTGAATCTGTGTGAATGTGAGACATACATCCAAGATTCACATTGTGAATTTATGCATTTAACAGCAAAAGAGTTTGAGGTTCACCAAGTGATGTACACATACACATGGTGAATTTTAAAATTATTTTGTGCATAGTGAATACAAACAAAAGTGTTGACCAACTTGCAAAAAAAAAATTTTTAAGAGATTCACATTGTGAATGTGAGACATACATCCAAGATTCACATTGTGAATTTATGCATTTAACAGCAAAAGAGTTTGAGGTTCACCAAGTGATGTACACATACACATGGTGAATTTTTAAAATTATTTTGTACATAGTGAATACAAACAAAAGTGTTGATCAACTTGCAAAAAAAAAAAAATTTAACAGATTCACAATGTGAGACATACATCCAAGATTACATTGTGAATTACTTTTTTTTAATAAGTGTGTAGTATATGATTAGATAATTAGTTATTTTAATCTGAATGCGAATGTTCTAACCTTTTTTTTATCTTGAATATCTTCAATTTTTTCACTTGTAGTTGAAGGTAGAACATCTTTTAGATTTCTTGTCAATTTCATTCTTTTCTTATTATCCTTTTTTTCATTGATATTTTCTTCATTTCCTGTTTTTGATTAACAAATTAATTCAAACATCAATTTCATGGTATGAAAGTTATGATTTATTCATATATTTCACAATGTGAATCTGGATTACAAATGAATTTAACATAATATTTATTCACATTGTGAATTCAGTTTGAATCAAAACATTACCAATGCAACTCTTTATAAATTTACAATGAGAAGCACAATAAGAGATACAATATCAATTAAACATAGATGTACAATGTGAATTTCACAAGATGAAAAAATTAAATGTAAATGATAAATCACCCTGTGAATTCACAATTTGAATAAATGATATGTTAAATTGATATATAACCATGATTCACTTTGTGAATTGTCAAATAATGTAATTCTCAGAAACACTGAATCCTTTCAAAATAATCAAATGCAAATCACAAAGCACACGGTGAATTCAAAATGTGAAATTAGTTTTTCAGTTTAATGAATAAACTCATAAACCACTTAGATTTACAAATTTTTAGGAAATTACGGTTTGTAATTTAGATATTCATGATTTCTGTATCGATTTGAAGAAATTTATATCATTAGGTTCTTGGTAATTATACAAATTCTCAAAAGTTCATGAAATTAGGGTTTCGATTTACTTAATAAACTCATATTCGAGTTAGATTCACAAAGTTTTAGGAAATTTCAGTTTGTAATATAGATATTCATGATTTCTGTATTAATTTCAAGAAATTTAAATCATTAGGTTTTCGTTATGTATACAAATTATTAAAAGTTCATCATCCGAGGGTTTCAAATCAGTCTAAAACGATTTTGTTAATAAAATAGTTTATTCACAGATTCATCGAATACATAATGTATTAGATAGTTTAGATTTGTCGTTTTGAAATTTATCAATCGAAAAAATATAATGTTGAAAATGCATTAAATGAGATAATCGGAAATGAATAGCAGTCAAATATACCTTCTAGATTCATTTTGACGAACTTTTCGGGATGATTCACTGTGGATATTGACTGAATCGTCGCCAGAGATCCGTTTGAAATCGATGTTCGTCGGTGAAGTAAAAGATCGCTTTCAATGAGAGGGTAAAATCGATTTCACTGATATGTGAAACTGATGAACTAACGTCGTTAATTAACAGTGAGAGTTAATAAGTTTTAGGTTGACAAAAATGCCCCCTTAAGTTACGTGTTTGGTATAATCAGCTGCACACTATTGTTTTTCATACTTTTACATCTCAAATCCAATGGCTGTTAATTTTTTGATCCAACCATCTTAATAGGTTCTTTGGTTCCTCCACTCATATTGATTCTCTATTGAACCCCTCCCTATATATATATATATATATATATATATATATATATATTTATATATATATATATATATATATATATATATATATATATATATATATATATATATATATATATATGGTGAGGTTCAATAGATAACCATAATTAACCAAAGAACCAATTTTTTTTTCAACTTTTAGAACTTATTCTTTATCAAAAAAAAAAACTAAAAATATAGAAATTCATAACTTTTTATCCTTTTTCCAATGATATCAAATTCGATTTTTTTACGTCAAATTCACAATGTGAATATTTGAAAATTCACAATGTGAATCCGGATTCACACGGTGAATCCGAAAAATATTTTTCACATTCACAATGTTAATATATTAATTTAGATATTTTTAGATTTTTTTTTCGAAAGAATAACCTCTAGAAATTGAAAAAAAAATTTGGTTCCTTAAAGAATCAATAATTATGGTTCTCTATTGAACTTTTCCATATATATATATATATATATATATATTATATATATATATATATATATATATATATATATATATACACCACACACGCTTAAACCATCTCCAACTCATCTCCATTTTTTCCCCCATAAATGGAGTAGAAAATGGAGAAATAGTGATTCATCTCCAACCCTACTTCATTTTCTACCCCATTTTTTACCCCAAAAAGTATATTCCTAGAATATTCTATTTTTTATAACTTATATATATTGTCAAATACACCCCTCTACTAATTAAACTCTATATTTATGATTAATTAATATAAATTAGTATATAACATGATATTATAAATATTAAATATTGCATTTAAATTATAATTAGTAGATAAAATAAACTAGAAATATATAAAATAAAAATGAGTGGGACTAAAATTGGCAACCAAACTTCACCTCCATTTTTGGAGATATGAATAGTATTCCCCCATATATTGGGGAATACTATACATATCTCCAAAAATGGAGGTGAAAATGGGGTAGGGTTGGAGAAGAACGAAGGAAGAAATGGAGTATGGGGGTGGGGTTGGAGATGTCCTTATATCAGATATAAGCTTGAAGTTGGCCCAGGTGATTTATCTCGTTTCGTGGTTTGACTAATGACAAAATACATTTTTAATAATATGGTTTATCATTAAAATAAGGCAAGATGGTGAATATAGCTCATCGGAGGGCCTACAACAGGTTGACTTTACAATAATACATTTAGGCATTATTTTTGATGCAGTAAACCAGACGTGTCACAAGAAGATGACCCGTCAAGATATGGTTTCTAGAGGTTGCCATATTTTCTTATCCACGTTTATTGTATTATAATAGATAATAGATATATACCACACAAAGTCATAAACTAACAGTTTAAGTGACATAAAAAATTGATGAATTAAATATAATCGTGTGCTGAGATTGCAGCTTTCTATTTATGTCTTGGCAATCTTCCAACTACCAATCACAAACGAAATGTTCTCTTTCTCCAAGAACTATTTCCTTTTCTACTTCTCATTCATTGTTTTAATAATTTTTCTCAGTGTCAAATGGATTTCAACTCGTTTAAAAACTAAGAAAAATTTGCCACCATCTCCACCAAAACTTCCGATCATCGGAAACCTCCACCAATTAGGGTTGAGCCCCTACAGGTCTCTCCGGGCCTTGTCCAGAAAACATGGTCCACTCATGTTGATGCACTTTGGCAGTGTGCCTGTGCTTGTAGCCTCCTCACCTGAAGCAGCTAAAGAGATCATGAAAACCCATGATTTAAAATTCTGTAACCGACCCAAGTTAAGAATTGTCGACATAGTTGTGTATGGCTCCAACGACATTACATTTTCTCCTTACGGAGAGTATTGGAGGCAAGTGAAGAGCATCGCGGTAGTCCATCTTCTAAATACTACACGCGTTCAGTCATTCAGAAAAACGAGGGAAGAAGAGGTGGGTCTTATGATTGACATGATCGAAAAAAGTTCTGGTTCTGTAGTGGATCTAAGTGAGTTACTTTTTAGGCTTGTGAATAACATTGTATGTAAGGCAGCTCTAGGGAGGACATACCCTGGGTCGAAGTTCGCGGACTTGTTGGAAAGGTTTGTGTGGGTTTTGGGTGCTGTTAGCCTTGGGTCCTATATCCCATGGTTGTCATGGGTAGACAAATTGAGTGGTTTAGATGAGAAAGCACATAAAGTTGCCAAAGACTTTGATGATTTTCTTGAAGGTGTTGTTGCGGAACATGTAGATAAAAGAAGAGGGGATGGATGTGGATGCTCAAAGTGGTGAAGATCAAGATCTAGTTGACATCTTGTTGGATGTAAAAGGAGATAATACAACCGGATTTACTTTTCATAGAAATACCGTTAAAGCTCTCATCTTGGTAAGATTTCTTCTTTTTTCTAATTAACGAGTTATGATTAAACCTATCGACCTATTGAACTAATAGTGACCAAAATCTTTTGTTAAACGGGTTTAAACATTTGTTAAGAATTTGAACTTTTTTTATATTTTAAATTGGATGTTGCTAAATTGACACCCCTTAGACATCCTATTAACACTTTTATTAAAAGTCAACCTATAATAAACTATTTAAAATTTACTTTTTCGAAAAACAATGTAAATTCAACCAATAAAAGTATCTTGAAAACCAAATAGGGTGTCTTTATGAAAAAAAAAAATGGTGTCTTTTTAGCCATAAACATCTTTATCAAAAGTCAACCAATAGTTATATATTTATAATCATCTTTTTCATAAAACAATAAAATTTCAACCAATAAAAATAACTTAAAAACTATATAGGATATCTAAATGATAAAATAGGATGTCTTTTTAGCCAACCCCTTTAAATTTTATTATGGCTTTAAAGATATAAGACATTAATTATTACTAAATTGTCATTGAGTTTATTGTTATTCCATCGAAGTCAATTTAAAATTTTTGACTATTTAAATGTAGCATTTGACTTTAGACTACAAAAAATAAAAAATGACAATTAATTTTTGCAATTAACCTCATAAGCAAAAAAAATAAAATACAAACAAAACTTGAAATAGACGGAAATAAAAGAAAATCAAACAATTGCAATTAAAGAGATGGAATAAAAGAGAATATTAGGCAAGGTTCTAAATAACGTAAGGCGTGACTTGGCGGCAATGTCAAGCCTCAAGCTTTTCCGAGCCTTGGCGAGTCACGTCGTTTGTAAGTCGTGACTTAAAGCGACAATTTTGTGTATAGTTCATATTTTTATATGTATTTTCTACTATTATTCATTTTTATACACATATATGAGTCAAAGCGGCGTTTTGGTAAAGTTTGGCGGCACATACAAGCCTTGGAGTCATGGCGCGCCATGGCGAGCTTTTTAGAACCTTGATATTAGGTGTTACGATATGCATGTCTTTCACTTTGTGGTTAAGAGAATATTATGTGTTGCGATATGTATGTCTTTCACTCTGTGGTTTGCTGATTAAGATAGGAAACCGTACCAAAAACACCACATCTTGTGTGCGGTTTAGGTGACGGATTTCCCCACACGGGGTAGATTCCCCTCTCTCTCACTCTCTTATCCTCTAATTGGGCAACCTTTTTTTCTTTTTTTATTTTTATTAAATTGTATATATACTAAAAAATTAAAAATTATATATATATATATATATATATATATATATATAGATATATATATATATATATATAGATATATATAAATTTTTGGTTTTTAATTTCCAAAAAAAAGATAATAATAATGTGGCATAGAAAAAATAAAAGGTGAAAGATGGATACACCTTTAAGCCTTAAAAATTGAAATGGTAAAAACTGAATTCATCAAAATATCGATAGATATTCTACTTAAAAATATTACAATAAAATAAAAGATCATTACTTCGAAATTCAATTAAAATATGTCATGTTAACACTCCAACTCGCACAACTCTAATTAATTTCTATTACACTTTAATATCCTCTTAATATAATCGTACTAATCGCTAAAAGGTACGCAAAAGTGGTTAAATATATCATTAAAAATTCATAAAAGCACTTGTAAATTTGAAACTCTTGTAGGATGTATTTGCAGCTGGAACAGATACGACATTCACAAGTTTGGTATGGTCAATAAGTGAGCTACTTAGACATCCAAGAGTAATGGAAAAGCTAAAACAAGAAGTAACAAAAATAGCACAGGGAAGATCCATGATTCTCGAAAAGGATTTGGAGAACATGCAATATCTTAAAGCCGTCATCAAAGAGACACTACGAATGTATCCTCCAATCCCTCTACTTATTCCTCATGAATCAACAGAAGATGTCAAACTACTGGGATATGACATTCCAGCAGGCACACAAACATTGGTCAATGCTTGGGCAATAGGAAGAGATTCTACAGCATGGGAAGAACCAGAAGAGTTTAAGCCTGAGAGGTTCTTGAATAGTTCCACTAATTACAAGGGGCTTCACTTTGAGCTGCTTCCATTTGGTGGTGGGCGAAGAGGGTGCCCTGGAATTCCATTTGCTACAGTCATATTTGAGCTCGCATTAGCAAATGTGATATACAAGTTCGATTTGGCATTACCAAATGGAGTTAAAAATACGGATTTGGACATGAGAGAGAAATTCGGCATTACGCTCCATAAGGAAGCTCATTTACTTATTATGGCAACTCCTAGTTTCTAGTAGTTGCTTATATATATTTCAATGGAATATATCACAAAATATATAGCAATTGTTTCAATGGCAATAACACATGTTTCACAAGATATTCCTATACATTATGTCACTAGTTCTTTTGATGATCATATAGAACATAAGAAAATCACATATCACTCATAAGTTTTGGAGAAATTATTTTTCTATATGTTTCTTTGTCTTCTCTCCTCTCTCTCGCTCTCTCTCTCTCGATATATATATTATATATATATTATATATATATATTATATATATATATATTATATATATATATAGGTTATTCTATTCAAAGTAACTATTGTGTTATTGTATGCATAAATGTGGGGCAATCATTTTTACTTATTTTAAGAAAATGATTAATATATATTATTGATTTAAATATAATTGAAAAATATCATCTAAATTAATTACAATGGTATTTTAGTCAATTAATATAGATTTGATATAGGGAAATTGCATATTTTAAGAGATCATAGATTCTATTAATTTTAAAAATCCAATTTTACGAATTATAATTCTTTTAATTCGGACATTCTGACAGAATATATTTATAAGTATATTCAAAAATAAAAATATTCTTGAACCATGGAGTAAAAATATTCTTGAACCTATTTCTTGATCATGACTTTAAAAACTTCTTGTTGAATAACAAATTCTTGAACAATCAATTGAAGAATAAAAACAAAAAATACATTATTTCTTATAGAATACGGGTAACAAATGTTAAGAATTACATTTATTGTTAAAGAATAAAACTAAAAAAACTTTCAAAACGGGAAAGGAAACATGAAAATCTAACAACGACACTAATACATTCTAAATGAATAATGTTGCTTAGAATCACTTTCAATTTTGTAGTCCGTTCTTCAAGCATCAACTTCTGTGAAAACAAAACCAAATTGTAGTTTAGATTCCAATAATGCATTAGCAAATGAAAAATAAAAAACTAAATTCCTTTGGAAAAATATGTGGACTTGTGAATTGCACCAAAACCAATAACCAAGAATTGTAGAACATGCATAAATCGGTGAGAAAATATTCATACTTCATTCCAACAGAATTAGAATTCATGATTCCATTTCAACAGAATTGGAATTCGTGATTCCATTCCAATCGAATTTTGAAAATATGGTTGAATTTTGAACTTTAAATCTCAAAATAGACGATATCCTCCAATAGCCACAAGCCAAAAACTCCATAAACAGTTTAGAATTGGCATATAGATTACAATAAAAGCTTCTAGATCTAATGAAAGTAAATAAAATGTCAAGAAAAAAGGAGGCGTATTTTTTGGTTATTGCTCATTATTATGAATAATGAAAAAAATGTTTTTTTTCTGTGAAGGAATCGAAAGTAGCATGGTAGAAGCAAAAATTAAAATTGTTATGCTTCCTGTTTGATTCCAAGTAAAACACACCAAAAAAAAGTTTTTCGGTTTAACTTTTGGACGTACAAACAAGGAGCAAAGAAAAAATATAAACTAAAAGGAGGAATGCAAAAGAAATTGTGATGATTCTGGCCTTACATATAAGAATAACGCCTATGCTTTGTCGAGCCTGAGACCACATTACAAACTTTGCAACAATTACACATTTACACCGCCAATGTCAAGACGAGTTAAGATCTTTGACTGTGAATGTGCCGATGAAATATTTGTAGAGAAAGAATTAGGCCGAATAGGGTTTTTTAGAGTGATGAATGAATAAGAAACAGTTGTAAATAAAAAGGGGAAGAAATTATGTTAAAAGTCAATGTAACTACCAAGATTATAGGGAGTATTTGTGGAAGTTATTAATCAAATTACTAAATTACCCTTATTTTTTTATTTAATTATTTAATTTTTTTATTTAATTTTGATTGGCCCACATTTATGCATACAATCACACAATAATTACTTTGAACACCTGAACCTCTCTCTCTCTCTCTCTCTCTCTCTCTCTCTATCTATATATATATATATCTATTATATATATATATATAATATCTATATATATAGCTATCTATAGGGCTAGGTTATAATGTGGATAGACAACTATTGTGTGGACGTGTGGATAATGTTATTTTATGAAAATTACTAAGAGAATATGTTGTTTAGTAATGTGAATACGTTCAATCTCACAGAACTATTGTTATTTTAATGGATTCTCACCAATTCTAATTCATTTTTGTTCTCGTTCATCGTTTTTTATTTATTTTAATTCTTACAGAATACGACTCAATAAACATCCTGATAACATTCTGACAGAATGAGGATAATTAAAAAAAAGTGTATAACAACCTTATAGACGATTGAATTAGTGAAAATGATTAATAATTAAAATAACTATATAAGATTGAACGTATTCATATTATCAATCAACATATTTTCTTTGTAATTCTCACAGCATAGTATTATCCACACGTCCACACAATAGATGTCAATCCACATTTGAACCTAGCTCTCTCTCTCTCTCTCACTCTCTCTCTCTCTATATATATATATATATTATATATATATAATATATATATATATATATATATATATATATATATATATATTGAGAGAGAGAGATAGGTTCAGGTGTTCAATGTAATTATTGTGTGATTGTATGCATAAATGTGGGTCAATCAAAATTAAATAAAAAATTAAATAATTAAATAAAAAATAAGGGTAATTTAGTAATTTGATTAATAACTTCCACAAATACTCCCTAATCTTGGTAGTTACATTGACTTTTAACCTAATTTCTTCCCCTTTTTATTTACAGCCGTTTCTTATTCATTCATCACTCTAAAAAACCCTATTTGGCCTAATTCTTTCCCTACAAATATTTCATCGGCACCTTCAAAGTCAAAGATCTTAACTCGTCTTGACATTGGCGGTGTAAATGTGTAATTGTTGCAAAGTTTGGAATGTGGTCTCGGGCTCGACAAAGCATAGGCGTTATTCTTATATGTAAGGCTAGAATCATCACAATTTCTTTTGCATTCCTCCTTTTAGTTTATATTTTTTCTTTGCTCCTTGTTTGTACGTCCAAAAGTTAAACCGAAAAACTTTTTTTTGGTGTGTTTTACTTGGAATCAAACAGGAAGCATAACAATTTTAATTTTTCCTTTTACCATGCTAATTTCGATTCCTTCACAGGAAAAAAATCCTTTTTTTCATTATTCATAATAATGAGCAATAACCAAAAAATTACGCCTCCTTTTTCTTGACATTTTATTTACTTTCATTAGATCTAGAAGCTTTTATTGTAATCTATATGCCAATTCTAAACTGTTTATGGAGTTTTTGGCTTGTGGCTATTGGAGGATATCGTCTATTTGGAGATTTAAAGTTCAAAATTCAACCATATTTTCAAAATTCGATTGGAATGGAATCACGAATTCCAATTATGTTGAAATGAAATCATGAATTCTAATTCTGTTGGAATGCAGTATGGATATTTTCTCACTGATTTATGCATGTTCTACAATTCTTGGTTATTGGTTTTGGTGCAATTCACAAGTCCACATATTTTTCCAAAGGAATTTAGTTTTTTAGTTTTCATTTGCTAATGCATTATTGGAATCTAAACTACAATTTAGTTTTGTTTTCACAGAAGTTGATGCTTGAAAAACGGACCACAAAATTGAAAGTGATTCTAAGCAACATTATTCATTTAGAATGTATTAGTGTCGTTGTTAGATTTTCATGTTTTCTTTCCCGTTTTGAAACTTTTTTTAGTTTTATTCTTTAACAATAAATGTAATTCTTAACAATTGTTACCCGTATTCTAGAAGAAATAATGTATTTTTTGTTTTTATTCTTCAATTGATTGTTCAAGAATTTGTTATTCAACAAGAAGTTTTTAAAGTCATGATCAAGAAATAGGTTCAAGAATATTTTTACTCCATGGTTCAAGAATATTTTTATTTTTTAATATACTTATAAACATATTCTGTCAGAATGTCCGAATTAAAAGAATTATAATTCGTAAAATTGGATTTTTAAAATTAATAGAATCTATGATCCCTTAAAATATGCAATTTCCCTATATTAAATCTATATTAATTGACTAAAATATCATTGTAATTAAATTAGTTGGTATTTTTCAATTATATTTAATTCAATAATATATATTAATCACTTTCTTAAAATAAGTAAAATTGATTGGCCCACATTTGTGCATACAATAACACAATAATTACTTTAAATTGAATAACCTAAGCCTATATATATATATATATATATATATATATATATATATAGGTAGGTTCAAATGTTTAAAGTAATTATTGTGTTATTGTATGCATAAATGTGGGCCAATCATAATTAAATAAAAATTTAAATAATTAAATAAATAAACAAGGGTATTTTAGTAATTTGATAAATAGCTTCCACAAATAGTCCCTGTAATCACGCTAACATTCACTTGTAACCTAATTTTTTTTTTATATACAGCAGGTCATCGTCTTCATCGTCTTCCACAAATCGTCTTCATCCCTCCATTCACAATTGAGCTAGCCTTCCCTCCCTGATACTTCCGATCATTGTGGCCATTCTCTGCTTCCATTCACAAATCGGGTGTTGCATAATTTAGAATTTTTGATTTTGATGGTGATATTCTGATAAAATCATGAGAAATTTGTGTTTTTATGATTTCATCTCAGAAGAAGAATCAAAGCTAAATTCTCGAGGTTTATATTCCGTGAATGATGTTTCTCCTTTCGATTCTTTGTTATCTGCAGAATTCGTCATCTGGGTTGGCGTGGAAACTCTCATTGATTGTGATCTTAAGTCAAGAATCCCAACAGAAGGTTTTGTAAAATGTGAAGTTTCATCTGGTATTTTCTCCGATCTCATTGATTTTGAACGCCAATTCAATGGAATTTGAGAGTTGGAATCAGAATCTGAATTGGAATCAGAAATAGTTTCTCTGAATTTCTCCTCTAACTTGATTGGAACCAAACCCCTAAACTTTCCCTTTTTTATTTCATCCCCAAAAGTTGAAGAAGAATCTTGAAGTACTGATTTCACAGTAGCAGAATCCAAACTTTTAGAACCAAGATTTTTTTTTGATTGTTCTGCGTTTACTTAATTGCTTAAGAACAAAGTTTTTGTCATCAATAACAACCATGGATTCCCTTATAAAATTCTGATTTAGCTTCTTCCTATCTGATTTAGCTTCTTCCTATCGTATGGACCCTTAATTTGCAAAGGTTTGATCATCTACATAGCTTGTCTTTTTTCTGATTCTTTTGACAGGAAATGATTAATTTGCTTTTCATTCGATTTTTTTCCTGATTTAACACTTCATTTATGTGGACAATGCAGGATCTTGACAAGGTTGAATTCTGAAAAGGTATCAAGTATGTTTATGTAGATGATTTCAATGGATGATATTGGTGAGATTCCAATTATATTGGAATGGAATCACGAATTCCAATTCTATTGGAATGGAATGACGAATTCCAATTCTGTTGGAATCACAGAAGTTGATGCTTGAAGAACAGACCATAAAATTGAAACGGACCACATTATTCTTTTAGAATGTATTAGTCGTTGTTAGATTTTAATGTTTTCTTTCCCGTTTTGATTGTTTTTTAGTTTTATTCTTTAACAATAAATGTAATTCTTAACAATTGTTACCCGTATTCTATAAGAAATAATGTATTTTTTGCTTTTATTCTTCAATTGATTGTTCAATAATTTGTTTTCTACTAGAAGTTTTTAAATTCATGATCAAGAAATAGGTTCAAGAATATTTTTATTATTTATGGTTCAACAATATTTTTATTTTTGAATATACTCATAAACATATTCTGTCAATATGTCCGAATTAAAAGAATTATAATTCGTAAAATCGGATTTTTAAAATTAATAGAATCTATGATCCCTTAAAAAATGCAATTTTCCTTTATTAAATCTATATTAATTGACTAAATTACCCTTGTAATTAATTAAGATGATATTTTCAATTATATTTAATTCAATAATATATATTAATCATTTTCTTAAAATAAGTAAATTTGATTGGCCCACATTTATGCATACAATAACACAATAATTAGTTTGAATAGAATAACCTAAGCCTATATATATATATATATATATATATATATATATATATATATATATATATATATATATATATAGATATATATATATATATATATATATATATATATGTTCAAATTAAATGTCGCCATGTACGTGTCCGCAACGACAAGTCATCACCATAGGCTTCGTTGATGCAACTTTGTCGCAATAGATACCCTTTTAGAGATGACATAACGTTGTTGCAGGTTCGTGGTATTAGACATTCAAATACGACGTGTGTGTGTGAAAAACTTATCTCTTCATGATTTTGATGTCAAAGATTTGGGATTTTTTTATGGCTCAACAATAGGTAGGAGAGGGCTTCATTATGGGACTCATGGGTTGATAACCCAATGTAATGTAGCTTGTAATTCCAGCTTTTCCTATTCTTTTTAAATAAAGTTTTGTTGTTAAACAAATTGACCAAAAATGAACTAGTTTATGATGTTGAACTTCTTCACATATTCATACCATATATAAATTTTTGTTTATATTTTGTTTTTAAGATATTTTAACTATTAAAAAACCTTTTATAAACTTTATTTTGACTATTAATTGACTATGATCGTACCCTAATGTCCAAATTCATGGCGGAAATTTCCATGGGAAAATGATGTTTTTCTAGCAGTGATAACCATATGAAACCATTTAGATGTACAATGAATTGAAATGATTACAATACTAGAAAAAAATATCACGGCTAGCCTTAGATAAGACGGAATTAAGTACTTATATCACTAAAATATACACAAACTTATTCAACGGATTAATTAGGGATTTCTTCATGGGAATTTTTCACCATATAGCCCATTTTCTCCTTGTGTTATTGTAACACAAGTGGACGGAGGAACACAAAAGAAGGATAACGCTCGTACAGATGCAATCCTCATGCTAACCGTGAACTACTGTGACATATGGAGTTGCTACCACCAGTAAAGGCAATTTCTTATGAATTGTGATCCCAACAGTCTCACTCATGTCCAAATCCTCCTCTTTTTGTACACCAGGCAATTGGAAGTCAAAACTATACACCAAACTAGCTAACACCAGCTCATTAACACTCATCGCAAACTGGATCCCAGGGCATTTCCTCCTACCAGCGCCAAAATAAGAGCTTTAACAGTATCTCGATCAAGAACGAAACTGGCGTCCTTTTCATTCTGAATTTCAAGTAAAATGTCCACAAAATCTTTGTTCTCGTCATCGCCACCAACATCAGATGTTTGTCTCTTCCGGTCAACATGCTCCTCGATCACACTTTCTAGAAACTCATCAAATTCGGCAGCAATTTTCGCTGCTTTAGCAGCATATTCATTCAAACGATCCACCCATGACAACCATGGGATGTAATCTCCAACACTGAAAACACCCAATAACTCTACAAACTGAGCAAATAGCTCTTTGAACTTCTCTCCACCGTGCCTCCGCCCCAATGCTGATCTACAAATCACTCCATTCGTAAGTGAAATCAATAACTTACTCATATCAACCACCGGAGAAGAAGAACAACTGATCCCTCTGATTTTCTCAACGAGCAGATCCGTATCTTCTTCCCTCATCCGACGGAATGATTGAACTCTTTTTTGACTTAGAAGCTGAAGCACAGCAATGCTTTTGATCTGTCTCCAATACTGTCCGTAATCTGCAAAAGCAATGTCCCTAGCATTGTATGAAAGTATTCTTGGCACGCTTGATTTGGCTCGATTAGCGAAGATTAAATCATGGGTTTTCATGATTTCTCGAGATGCGTCAGCAGAGGAGGCCACAACCACCGGCACACGACCAAAATGTAGCAACATGAGAGGGCCATGTTTCTTGGCTAAAGCTTGGAGGGAACGATGGGGGCTTGAACCTAGTTGGTGGAGGTTTCCGATGATTGGAAGCTTCGATGGAGAAGGTGGTAAGTTTTTTAGGGGTTTTGACGGAAAGAAATACCATTTTGAAAGAATGGAGACCACCAAAATGAACAATGGAAGAAGAATTAAGGAAGACTGAGAGCTGATCAAAGATGAACAACAACATTATTGTTAATTGTTCAGATATGATATAGCATGCATGCTAGCAGAAGGTTCATAGAAGATGTATATATAAGCCAAACTTTGGAAGGAGATGACAAACAAGTGCATGTACCAGCTGTAATAGAAAAGTGTTGTGGTGTGTATAACCGATAAAACAAAAACAAGAAACCCTAATTTTATAATTCAAAGTTTATACTTAAACATAATTAAGAAGTAAACAAATAATTGAAAGCACGTTATGACTTACTTAATCTTATCGAAATTATTCTAAACTCCAAATTATTGAAGCATATATATATGTAGTTTGATGTATTTAAGGTCAACCATTTAAAATATTAATACTAAATTACAAAAACAACCGTGTAATTATTCAAACGTTATGGTTTCGGTCCATGATTTGCTTTGTTGCATGTCCTTCGTTGTTTTTTTTTTTAACAATTCTAGTCCTTGATGTCTTATATGTTTGGCAACCAAATTATTTAGAGTTTTTAGTAGCTTGAATTATTAGCTTTTTATAGGGAATGACATAAATGTCCTACGAAATTTTTATGGTTGGTCCATTTAGTACTTCAAATATTTTTGTTGTTATAAGGGGTTATAAGGTAGAAACCAATATGCCTTTTTAGTCATCATAACTTATTTTAGCTGGTTTCATTATCACGTCAACAATTTTTACCACATCAGCCATTGGAAAGTCAACATAATATTTTGAAAATTTCTTTGTTACCAGAAAAACATTAAAAGCACCTCATCCACTTTCGGATGTGGCTCCAAATCCGGAGACCAATACGACTCTAAATACTTCCAGTGACAAGAGGACGAACAATGGCTTGTTGTCGCTAAAATATACGATGTGGAGTCTCCTCGTCGGAAAATATACAACTCCTCTGTCTCCAGTGGTGATATAAACGATGACTGTTTCCCGCTGTCGTTCCTCCGGTAGACAAAAAGAAAAGGCGTCAAGGTAGAAGAGCGAAGGTAAATAGATTAAGAAACATTAGCACATCCTCTGGTGATAGTGGCCTTTTTAGCAGCGAGTATAGCGTCCATGAAGGATGCGAAGACAAAGCTCTTCACGGCGGAGACGACAATGAAGTGGAAGATGAAACTGAAACCCTAATTTCCTCTTCTGAACGGATTTGTCAACAAATTTCAACCGTCAACTAGAAACCATACGTGAGTGCGCACCAATTTCACTATTGCATCGCTACAAATTCAGCAAAAAGCGAACTACATCATCGAAACACAACAGTCGAGGCCATGGAAACAATGGCAGAGGAGGAATGATGATGATGTGTAAAGGCAGTTCCGGGCGCCTGAATGGGGATCCCCGACAAGGTTTCCGGTTTTTAAAAAGCTTATACCTTGTAAAATGGAGGGGAAGATGAAGGAGAGCTTCCCATTAGTGAAGAGATCGGAGGATCCATTCAAAGATTTCAAGAGATCGATGATAGAGATGATAATGGAGAAGAAGATGTTTGAGGAGACTGATCTCGAGCAACTTATACAATGTTTCTTGTTGTTGAATTCAAGATTTCACCATGGTGTGATTGTGGAAGCTTTCTCGGAGATCTGGGACACCATGTATGGTGATGATTGAACTTGATGTAGATTTATTACCAAACTCAAAGTCAACAAATTCAATTGTAAAGCTCCAATTTTTGGGTATTTAAAGATCAAATGGAAGATTATTTATTTCATACTTGGGTCAAGGGAAGTGGGGTCTTAAGAAATGCGTATGTGGCAAGGGGTAACCGATTTATCGCTTTAATTCTTCCAAAGGGACCCAATAGACCTGGCAAAAACGAGTTTATGCCCTCATAAAGCAACGAAAATGCTTGGGCGTGTTTGGTTGGAAGGAAGGGAATGGAATTCGAGGGAAAATGATTTCAATTCCCTCGAATTCATGTGTTTAGTTGTACTTAGAGGGGAAAATGGATTCCTAAATAAAATAAACTTTCCACCGTATGGAGGAAATTGGATTCCTTCCAAAGTTGAATGTAAATCTTTCCTTTCTCATCAAGGAAAGTGGCAGATTATAAAAATATCCTCTTTACTTATCAGAAAACCAACACTCACCACTACTACAATCGACCACCAACCGCCACCAACACTACCACCAGCCACTATCACCATTGCCACCAATAGTCGTCGCCACCACCAACACTACCATCACCCGCCACCAACAGCCACCACCACCGGTACCATCGTCGCCACCATCACTACCATCACCCACCACCATTACCATTGTATCCACCACCAACACCTCCACCGCCACCACCGCTACCGCCGCTACAACCACCACTATCTGCGTCGCCTCCACCATCACCCACCACTACCACCACCGCCACCAACACCACAGTCATTGTCACCACCACTGCCTCCATCACCGCCACCACCACCGCTGCCATTGTCGAGATTTAACTATTTTATAATTTATATAATGTATTTTTACATATAAGTTAGAAAATAAAGTAAAATTAAGTGAAACAGACAAAAAAATGTAATTTTGTCATTTTATATATGGATTTCAATTCTATTTCCCGCTAACTAAACAGAATCTGAAAATAATTCTATTTATATTTCCTGCCAACCAAACATATATGATATGAAATTGGATTCAAATTATCGACAGATTCCTTTTCCAATTCCAATTCCATTCTCTTTATAAACATTCTACGAACCAAACAGTTGTTAAGGACTAAATAGATCAATCCTAGAAACTTCGTAGGACATTTATGTCATTTCTTTTTTTATATAAAAGTTAAATTATAAGAGGTTTTGTTTGCAAATGTGTTTAAATTTTTTAATTTAGAATAAAAATCTTATAATACAAAAGATATCACTACAAGAAATGTGATCATTAGTGGCGACAAGGGTGGTCGCTAAAGAGTGCGGTTGTTGCTGCTAAAGCTATTAGCGGCGACCTGTCGCCGCAAAAAAGGTCGTCATTGTTGCTTCGTCGCAAATGCACAATCTGTCTCCACTAATACTATGTCACCGCTAATACCTACCTGTCGCTGTTAATGCTTTGCAACAAGATCGACGGATAGGGTGTAATCTCAGACTTTTACGCAAATCGTGGTCATAGAGTATTAACGGCGACGCCTTTAGCGTTGACATCCACTGTTAGCGGCGACAACCAACGCGAATGTTGGTTGTTGCCGCTAATAGTGGTTGTCGCCGCCAAACGCGTCACCGGTAATGCTCATATTTCTTGTAGTGTATTTAATAGATCATTTAAAGAAAAATCCAAACGCTTGCTATAACAAAATCATAGGTTGTTTTTTAAAAATCAAGTAATGATTGTGTTTTGTGTAATTTATATTTTTTGAAAATTTTAGAACTATTTTTGTCTATCAGTTATATCTATATAAATAAAAATTGCTATTTAAGCTCTCAAAGAGTTATATCTATGGATGTACGTTGTATGATAATAACTAAGATGTATTAACCAAAGGGCTTCTAGCCCAGCGGTATCCGGTGTTGCCCTCCCTCCTTGAGGTTGATGGTTCAGGTCTCGTCGTGGACATAGGTGAATTTAAGGTGTAGTTTAGGAGTAAGTTAGATTTGTCGTTTAAAAAAAAAAAAAAAAAAAAAAAAAAAAAACTAAGATGTATTATTTTAAACAAACAAATAAATAAATAAAACCGAAGGTATATATACAAACAATGTTAATTTTCAACTAGATGATTTTGGCCACTTCGTGCTTGTTATCGATAGAAAGGATTACATAGTAATTTATGGACAATTTGTTTGCGGAATGTGATGGCTTCACTATTGATTTTGTGCAAAATATTAATTTTCTAGCAAAGAGTAAACTATAGAATGCAGTTTATCAACGACTTAAGATGAAAAAAAAGCCAATTCTTACTGTTACAATGAAACATATCTTAAGCATCCATGAATAAATGTAGGCATTAGGTGGTAAAATAGATCATGTTGCAGACCTCAAGTTTGGAATTGGGAGTGATCTCACATTAAGAGTCTCAAAAAAATAATCAGCATGAGTAAATGTTGCAGATATTTAAAAAAACGTGTGAGCATGATCCATAAAGAGTGATTCAAGTAATTTAATAGATGTTTCACAGTCCTCCACTGATAATTTTGAAAGCTAAACATCAATCACATTAGATAAAAAGTAAAAATAAAACAAATAGGCCTCTATTAACTATAAATAACAGTTACCATAGTTCCAAGTTAACTGAATTTTCCTTGAGAAAAAGTAATTATTGAAATAAAAATAGAATTACCAAACCACCACTAGTGGTATAGACGTAGTTATCTGTTTTTGATTATTTGGAATATAGCAATAATCATTTCAAAACGCCCCTATGATAATGTATTGGTTCCCACAAAAAGTTGCAAACAGTCAATAAAGCCTGCAAAATAATCACAAAACATGTAGGTGATCTCATTTTATGAACCAATAAATCTCTTACTGCACTAATGGAAGGAATTCAATACGGAATTCGAAGACTTCACCTTTACTAATGTCGGATGCTGCTTCCAAAAGTTTGGTTGTTCTTGTTTTATGTGAATAGAGCATTAGTGTGCAGTATCTCAGATACTATGGGTTCCTAAAAAATAGAGCATTAGATTATTTATCCGAGTAGTTTTTTTGGAACCACTCATCAATACTCTGGGTTCCTAGAAAAGTAGATAAAACTTACATTGATTGTATGTCTTCCAAAAGCGGGCCAGATCATCAGGTGTGATAAGGTTCATGAGATAGAACATGTGGATGCCATGAAAATTCTTGGAATGTATGGCCCCTTCCTCCTCTAATGTGTTTGAGCTTATGTTTGAACAATGAGGAATCTTTTCCAGTTTGTAATAACTGCATTGATAGAAATAATTTTTTTATTAAAACCATGATGCAACAAAATTTTCTATATTAACCATCTGGCCACTAGTTCACCCCCAAAACTTTTATCTTGATTATTGTCATAATCTAGACTTAGTATAGCTGATGTCCACTGCACCATGCAATCACATCTCATTACGTATAACAACCTGAAGAGAAAATATATGAAAAAGAATGATAGAGCTATTAAGTAATAGAATGCTAGAAACTTCATATCTTATCATTCTCATGCTTAAATCATAAGAACTTGATACATGAGACCAATATTGTAAGCATCATTCGGGTTATTGTTATAAAGAAAGCAAAAAAGGAAAAAAAAATAGTGATGTCATTACCTGGGAAGTGAATTAACTTAAGATGTGTCGAATACCCCCTTCTTGAACCCATAAAATGAATCCAAAAGAAGCTTTATTTTCGGCTTCAACATCAACAACACATAACATCATAAGGCACCACTTTATGATCACACCAGATATTGTCCTCAGAACACGGCTTTCATTGACTTTCTTCTTTGTCAATGGAGTTTCATCTCCCACTTTATCAAGAGTGGATACAACAATTTTTTATTTTAATTCCATTTAAAAAGTCAGTTTACGGAAAATAAAGAAAATGGATGGATGTTTCAAGAAATGTGTCTGATTAAAAAAACACGAACCATTGTGGGACCCAATGCATTACCGTTGTTCAGGTGGTTTTGCTTTTTCTTCTTTTGAGTTTTCATCAACTGTAATAAAATATAAATTAATATAATATTATAATTTCAAACCAATCGGTTAAATTAATATATTTTCATAAAATTATGTATACCTCCATCCACAGGCCGGGTAACTCTTACCTAGATATTAAAGATTTTGTTTTGTCAATAACAGGATTCAAATAGATGTAAGTTCCAACAGTGGAGCCGATTTGAAGTATTCCTGCATTTAGAAGTCAATTTAACGTGGATGTTAGACAGTTAGAAAATATGTTAGGAAATTGATCTAAGAAAGTGAAAAAAAATTTGGAAATAATATGTTACCTCGGATCAATCTTTAAGTTCTACTTTTATAGCAGTGGACTCCTTCAGCTTTTAAGTGTCTGATACACTGTTAATTTTTGCAATGTAATATGAAAAGCAACGTATTTAATACAAATGTTAAAGAATAGAAGCTGTAAACTTTTTAGGGAGGGGTACCTGTTAGGATGTAATTATTGTAGTCATTTTGTAATTATAAAAAGAACAAATTACTGAAATCGTCCCTATGGTTTGTCAAAAATCACGTGTTTGGTCCCTATCTTTTTTTTTGCACTCGGACCGTCCTCAGATTTTGATTTTGTTACGGTGTAAGTCCCTGCCCTATAAGAAATGACTATAATACCCTTGTTATTTTTTTTCAGCTTTTTTTAAAAATTTTATATTTAAGGAAAACAAATTAATTGATTTATTGATAGGTGGGACCACTTGCACTCCCAGTCCACCTCCACTCTAACCACTCCGACCACCGGCTGCCATCAGCCACCGACAACCGACACCTGCCACCGGAAAAATTGATCCACAACCTGTAACACCACCCGAATCAAACCTTAAACCATAATCTAACCTCAAACCTGAAAATCAACTAACCCTTCTAAAAATCAAACCAAAATCAAATCTTAAAAAACAAAAATCCTTAACCAAATCAAACCCCCAAACTCAGTTACCGCCATGAAACCCACCTAAAAAGTCGAGAGTCAGAGTTTGGATGTTGAAAGGGAAGAAGGAAAAAGGGATGTTAGCAATGGTGTTATACTTATCGCTAGATGGTGGTGGTTTTCGTCGGAGTTGAAAGATGGCAGCGGTGGGGTTAGGTTTACTGGAAGATGAGCGATTGGGAAGAAATTATCGCCCTTAATCACCTCCCACTGTCACTAACCACCACCGGCTTAACCACCTCCCACCGGTGTTAGATTTACCCAGAACATATTCTCAAATTTGATTTTTATCCCAGAAGTGCCCTAGAATCGTGAACCTAGATGCAATACACCAATACAAGATCGATAAACAGACCAGATACACCTTATGCAAGATCGGTTCAACAAACTCTAAGTCCCTAAGCATTGACTTCCTGGTTCATGGTTCATCAGGTATAAGATGGAGATGGAGTCGATGAAGACTAAGGAGAAAGAATGAGAGAGGCGGTGCTGATTTTTCCAGGTTCACGTTTTCTGATGACGTCGACATCGTGGCTAACATTTTTCTAGATACGAAGAGGTTGTGATGGATCGATGACATATATGGGGAGAGAAAGGTGATATAGAAGTATGGTTTTGATGGTGGTGCACTGGGTCCATGATTCAGGAATATTTGTGGGTTAAACTCAGTTTTAGGCGACGAAAGGAATAGAGGCGGAGATAGGTGGTGGCTGGAAGACGTGAAAAAGATGATGAACAACAACTTAGGGCTGACGAAATTTGAAAGGTGAGACAAAGTTTAAAGGGTGGGCCCTTTTCCTTTTTTTATTATATATATAATAGAAGTTATAAAAAGTCTGAAAAAAATAAAACAAAAGGGCAATATAGTCTTTT